AGGGGCTTCTCTTGCAGAGACTGGGAGGTGGCAGAGCCAGCCCCAGCCCGGGGCTGGCAGCAGGAGCCCTATGGGCTGGGGGCTGCTCCAGCCAGGCTGGAGTGGTCCCCTGCCTGGATCCCCACTTACTCAGCTAAATGTTAGGTCAACCTAACGTTTAACCAGTTAACTATTAACTGGGATTTTACATCCCATTTTTATATACAATTCATCACCTCACAGAGCTCTATGCTACTTCCTTTTTCTCCAGTAGCCCACAGAGTTCCTCACATCACTTTGGATCATGGAGATCTTCCTCACTCTGGCTAATGACCCAGAAGAAAAAGCTCTTACCCACTGCTTTGCCAATGAATCCACATTCCACTGCTCCCAGGTAGTTTCTCTGACCACCTTCTACTTCATAAACTCAAGGGATCAAGTCTTTATGAGTGCTTAGAATCACATCAGCTTTGTAGCACAATATGTTGGTCCCACCTCAGTGGCATGGATGTTACTGAACAGTACACAAACCATTCAGAGAGCAAGAATCTATCCAACAAAACACTAGACTCAACACGTTAAAACCTCTTTTGTTGTTCCAGCTGTGAAGTTTTCAAAGAAGAAAACAGGTATTAACAATGCAGCCCCCTCATCTTCCTGGGTAAAATAACTTGTGAATATGTATCAAATCCCACAGAGAAACAAAGCAGTAGTGTAAAATATAGGTCTACCCAGTGAAATAGGGCTCAGCTTTAATATGCAAGACCCCTATTACTTAAGACATAAATTGAGGAAATAGTGGAGTTAATTCTACAGAAGGATTGGTATAAAGTTACCAATTTATCCTAGATAAATTCTAGAAGGCCATCTATTGAAATGGTTAAATACATACTTGATACATTCTAGACATGTTTACAGACATTACATTCATATACATTTATACATATAGTATAAATGAAGTCAACATCTGAGCATTAACATTTCTGATAGGACAGATTCCATTTGAGTCAGAATTTCACTCACCTCATTCAGTCTCAATCAAGAGAGTTGCCAAAGCAAGATGAAGTCATGATGCCCACCTAAAGGAAGAGTTTTGAAGGTCCCTGGCATGGCCTTTCATTCTGAATCATCTTCCCTTAGGCTATGGCTACACTCTAGCCTTCTTCCACAAAAGCTTATGTAAATGAAGAGCGGAGTGGAATATCACCACGCTTCATTTGCATAATTAACTAGCAGCCGCTTTTGTGCAAGAGGCTTTTGCGCAAAAATGAGCTGTGTAGATGGCTCCTTTTTGCGCAAAAATCCCCTCTTGCACAAGAGCTGTTCTTCCTGAAAACATGAGAAGCGCAAGAGCCGTTCTCTCTCATGTTTTCAGGAAGAACAGCTCTTGTGCAAGAGGGGATTTTTGCGCAAAAAGGAGCCGTCTACACAGCTCCTTTTTGCGCAAAAGCCCCCTGCCCAAAAGCAGCTGCTCATTAATTATGCAAATGAAGTGCGGCAATATTCCACTCCATGCTTCATTTGCATAAGCTTTTGCGGAAGAAGGCTACAGTGTCGACGAAACTAATTTTGTAATTTGGCGCGGTCTACATATTACTGGGACATTGGAATAAGCCGCCCGTTATTTCAATATTTATTTTGAAATAATGGGCTGCTTTAGTAGATGCGAAATAGCTATTTCGGGATACTTTTGGTATCCCAAAATAGCTCTGCAGCATAGATGTGCCCTTTCATTCAGTCTGACCCCTTCATAGAAGCTGAAATTGTCAGTGCTACCCAGCATCTAGATAGACAAATAACTGTTTCAATGGGTCTTAGAAACATGCTACAGAATTGCTAGAGTCTTACTATCCAACCGATGCCATCATCTGTACCAACAGGATAGGAACTCATATTCCACAATGGAGAGAATATAAATCAGGCCAACAACCTACACTTTAACAGTGTCACTAATAAGATGACAGCACTGTTTGCAGTATTCACTGACAAATGTCTGCAGATATAGCAAGTTCCATTTCTCCCGCGGAATTAGGAAAGCTCTTGCCACTTTTCAATTCAGTGCACTCATTCTACTCCACAAATGTTAGCAAAATATAGATCAAGCGCTTCATATCACTGAACCGCATCATATGCATTTTTAAAAAAATCATGTCGAGTGCATCTTCGCATCTCTAGAAAAATCCCTAAATTGTATCCATCAATGCAGTGATTCTGCTGCATGCATCTGTGAGGCATTTAAGTTCTTATTATAGTGTTTAGGTGACTGGACATCAGTTTCTCTTCTCACAATGAGCAAATGAGGTGAGCTGAGGATCACACAATCTAAGTCACAATAAGAACATATTACAGTTTCACCTGAAATTTTATATTTTCTTTTATATATAGCTTTCCTTGGAATTTAGTGTTGGTGAAAGGTACTGGATTGGTACTGTTGATGAAAGGCACAGGAGATTGACACTCACCTTCTAGCCAAAGGACCCATACAGCAAAGATAACAGCTTCCCCATCACCGACCTGCCAGTGATCTGGAACTCGAGCAATCTTCAAGATGAGAAGATATTCTGGATGATGGCACATTCCATTAATTCTTGGCCTAATCCAAAACTACTAACAAAGTTGTAAATTAGAGCTAATAGTGTTGCTGATTGTTCTATGAACTACTGCCTCCTAGGAAATGCACTGAGGAATGAGTCATCATATAAACAAGGGGAAATGCTTTTTTATTTTTTAGGTTGCAAATGTTATCAAAATAGTCCACTAGCACTTAGGTCTCTCTGGTATGTAGACATAGGAAATATACACATTACAGTTTACAACTGTAAGGGTGAGTCTACACAGCAAAGTTATTTCGGAATAATGACTGTTATTCCGAAATAACTATGCCTGCATCTACACAGCAATTCGGTTATTTCAAAATAAATTGATGGCTTATTCTGACTTCTGTAAACCTCAGTCTATGAAAATAATGCCTATTCTGAAATAGCCATTTCAAAATAAGGCACGTGTAGTCGCTCCACTTCTGCTATTTTGAAATAGCCCCTTAGCAGGGCCATTCAGTTATTCCTCTTGGGGCTCTAAATTGAGATAGCACATCTACATTAGGGAAGCCTAATGCGGACTAATTTTGAGGCTTCTCTGCAGTGTAGACATGCTATTTCGAAATAGCTATTCTGGAATAGCTAATTCCGAAATAACTGGGCAGTGTAGATGTAGCCTAAGAGCCCTCGTACAGCTTTTGACATCCAACACAGTGTAACATCGCAGATAAGTCCATTCCCTCAACCTCTCAGTAACAGGAACATAATTATGTCATTTCTTCTCACTGCATTTTTACTCTAGCCTCCTGGGCCCACTGAAGTGAATGGGAATTTTGCCATTGACTTAAATGGGAGCAGTATTTTTTACCAAATATCCTTTCCTTGTTGCTTCCACAAACCTGTTATTCATTCAGGCCCATCAGTGCCTGCACTTAGAAAGTGCCCTCTACTAACAAATGTCTAATACCCTGAAGGATTTTGGAAAACATCATCAGTAGCCGCCAATCAAATCAAAATACATTTCACATTCTAATCAGATTAGAGTTTTCAGAAAAACAGCCATTTTTTTCCAAAAAAAACTCTGCAGTGTAGACATACCCACATTGTGCTACCAATGATAATGATTAAGAAGAAGTAATTTTGAAACTATGCAGGTAAATGCTTTGACAGGTGCAGCAATCCAGAATTTTAACAAACCAGTTACGTTCATACTGCAATTGGGTACTTTAAAAAAAAAATTCAAAAGAACAGAGGGGTTTTTCTAACATTGGTAAACCTCTTTCTGTGAGGACGTAGCCTTTCTACGAGCTCTTTCGGAAAAAAGGCGTGTGTGGATGAGGAAGAGGGAGTTCTTTCAAAAGAAGAAGAAAGATGAAAAAGCACGGGTGCCTTGATGGCCATCCTGTCTATAGTAATCGCAGCTTAAATGTGAGATAGCATCCACACTGAATGGACACTATCTTTCGAAAAAGCAGATTACTTTTTTGATGCGCTTTTGCAGTGTGGATGCTCTCTTTTGGAAGAAGTTTTTTCGGAAGATCTCTTCTGGAAAAGCTTCTTCTGAAAGAAGCCTGCAGTCTAGACATAGGCTGTGAATCAAAATTTCAGTGCAGCCACAACAGGAAAAGTTCTCCTAAATTGGCAGAGTCACCAGTTGCTCCTAACTTTCCATTCAATGCTTTTGCTATGTCTTACTTGCTGCAAGAAGCAGCAATTTAAAAGAAAAAAAAAACACAAAGGAAGAGCCTATACATGCCAGCAGTGGCCCAGATTCTCTGCTTTACTCAATCGAATTGCTAAAGTCCATGTGAGTACCCTTCTGAGGAAAGTAAGATTTGGCCTTGCCATACCAGGGCAACTTATCTCAATTCATATATTTGGGAGTCTTTAATTGACTTTTCATCTCAGTAGAGTAGATATGATTTCACCAATCATTAGGTACAGATAGGAACAGTTGCACAGCACAGCAGTTGTATATAATAAGCCCGATGAGAAAGAAAATAATCTTGTAATATCGTAAGCTTATCCATTGGAGCATGTACATTTTATTACCTTCAGGTCATCTAAGGAGCTGTGGCTTGAAAGCAGACCTAGATTTGTAGGGAAGTCCTTGGATTCCTGAGTGCAAATGAAAGGCAAAATGAAGGAGAGGGAATCCCTACTGCTGATGGAATTCGCGTTCCTCCATGGATACTTTAAACTTTTCTTTGCCAAATTTCATTCTTGGTTTCTGATGAGCAACTTGTCACCTTTGGAATGCACCAGATTGTACCAAATGGCAGGTATGTTCTGGTTTCCTCAGGGGAAAGTAGCCTTTAGAGCCTTTAACCATCTCCCAACTCTGCCAAAACCACTGCATCTGCACACTGCTCGCAAAACAAAGCTTTACCCAACACTTCATAAGATCATGAGCTATTTATTAGTTGTAAAAAACGTACAAGTGAAAAAAGCAATCAGCCATAAAACGCCACCAGCCAAAGTTACCCTGTGACTTGTAGGGTCTGCTTGACTGATGTTAAGCCAACAACAATGTAGCAAGATTCAACTGTGTGATTTCCTCAGCCTCTCTGGAGTTGTTTTGTAAGTGGTTCAGATAAAGAAAGAATCCTAAAACTCTGCTGCGTTAGCTGAACATTTGTATTCTCTCAGCATCAAGGGAACATAATGCTGTAGAAAAGCAGCTCCCTGATTAGCAGCTTGGTTAAGGATTTTAATCCAAGAGGGTCTGGTCTGTCCTTTATATCCAAGCATAGCAAAACTCCCTGAAAAGGAGAGAGAGAGAGAAAGAGAAAGAGTGACCATTTGCATCACTGGAAGAAGAGAATAACCATTTATTGTCATGACAAACTTAGTGCACAGACCAAGGAAACATTTTAGCCATCCTTTTGCTTCTACTACTGTAACAATGTTTTATAAAACATAAAGGAAGCAGGGGAGATAAATCATACAGAAGCACTAATCTGATTGCACTGTCTTCAGGCATTTCAACTAACTGTGATAGAAGCTCCCATCCCAGTTTTGAGTTAGTGAGACTATTGTTCTGTTGTCTGTTTTTTAAATGCTGTTATTTTTTCATATCTGATGGGATGAAAGTGGTTGGGTAATGTTGAATCTTTTTCTTATTAGATTAGATTAGTCTTCTCAGATATGCTTAAACAGTTGCTCCCCTTGTTGACTGCACACAGTCACATGTCCCCTTTGGTTTTAGATAAGAATGGCCAAATGAGGTCAGACCAAAGGTCCATCTAGCCCAGTATTCTGTCTGCTGACAGTGGCCAGTGCCAGATGCCCCAGAAGAAGTGAACAGAAGAGGTAACCAAGTGATCCATCCCCTATCTCCCCCATCCCAGCCTCTGGCAGAGGCAAGGGACACCATTCTTACCCATCCAGGCTAATAAGTATTGATGGACCTATCCTCCATGAATGTATCTAGTTCTTTTTGAACCCTGTTAAAATCCTGGTCTTCACAACATCCTCTGGCAAGGAGTTCCAGACATTGACTGTGCACTGCATGAAGAAATGCTTCCTTTTGTTTTAAACCTGCTAACTATGAGTTTCATTCGGTGACCCCTAGTTCTTATGTTATGGGAACAAGTAAATAACTTTTACTTAGTCACTTTCTCAAACCTGTTTTAATAACAACATAACATATTTATATTGTATCTTCATTTGCAAATGATCCCAAGGCTATTTGCAAACTGTGGGAATCAATCCTACTCATGCCACAGAACTATTAAATGTAAACATTTTTCATGTAAGAATTGCAGTCCCAGGCAACAAGGTCCCAATTATGTCCCCGGTGAAGTGAATGGCAGTTTTGATAGTGGCTTCGATATCAAACCACGTACCTTTACTGTAGTTTAGAGGATATGTTTCAACCCTCATTACCATATAACCACTTCTAGAGCGGACTGTGGCAGGCAGCTATTTTAACAGTGCAGACAATGGTACAGTGTCAGAGTTGTGGAGTTAAGTACTGAATACAACCAAAGCAGAGAATTTTAATACAATTACTCTGATTCACATTTGTTATGGACATCTTTGGTTTCTTATTTCATCCAAAAAACACAAACAGCAGCACAGTGTCCCCTAGCATCATGCTGAAGCATTAGTTCATTACTGACTCAAAGAAAAATGCTACCTACCAAACTACCAGCCTCTTTTGCTCCCGGCAGCAACACAGATTTTCACTAAGCGGGGGATTTTGTGTGAGGTATTTTCCACACCACCAGAGTGGTGGTACAAAGAGACACAGTGGAGTTATACATGTAAACTACAGGCAGTCCCCGGGTTACGTACAAGATAGGGACTGTAGGTTTGTTCTTAAGTTGAATCTGTATGTAAGTCAGAATTGGCGTCCAGATTCAGCCGCTGCTGAAACTGACCGCCAGCTCTGACTTACATACAGAATCAACTTAAGAACCCCAAGCGTCCCCAAG